GCTTCTTATGTAAGTGTAGTTAAGGATGGGAGGGGAGCAATTTTGTACTGATATTCTCTAATCACTCAGCTCTCTCCTGTTTTCATAGCTGTTATTTTCAATTTTAGTTAGTTCAGGGCATATCTTTTTCTCCTGAGTATCTGAAAATGCTCAGCTATTATTATATTTTGCTCTGAATTTTCTCTTTTTTCCCCTTTGACTTCCCAGACTTCTTTTGTCTGTCTTGTTCTCATTTCTTTTGTATGTGTGTCTGCAGGTGGCTTTTATAGCAAAATCTCATTCTGCTTTCCTGCCTCCCCCCACCCTCTCCTGTTTTGTTACTGCATTGCCTTTCTCATTTGTGCTTTTCCTGATGCCTGTAACCACTCATTTCCTAATAGATTCCATTCTGTGCCTATGGAGTTCATTTTCCCTTTCCTCAAGCACTGAATCATTGACTTCATTGTACAGAAAGGAATGAATCCCCAGGCCACTCTGCAGAGCAGGTTTCACTCTCCCATGCCTGAAGAGGAGGAGGGAAGTGGCTGAGCTCAAGGGATGTCCATGGCAGGCTCTTGGCTCTGAGGCAGTGAACAAGCTCATTATTGCTGCAGCCTCCTCACAGCCCTTCCTCGAACCCTGAGTCTCCCATAGCTCTGGCAGCTTCTTGACAAGATTAATCGAACTAGGTGAACGCACAATGTAACCTATAGAAAATGCAGAAATCAAACCACTCAGCTTTGAGGCTTTTTCCTTGTCTTACCCTGTTCATACGTGGGACTATGACTGGTATTACGTTGAGTTCTTATTTGTATTTAATACTTGCTAACATGCCCATTTCTTGGTTCCTGAATTAAGTAAGTAAATCAGATATTACACAATCTTAATTTTACAGACTGCAGAATAATTACAGTGACCAATAACACTATTGCCATGTGATTCACACTACGCTAACTCCAAAATTCATAATCAGAGATGCCTGGAAGTGCCAAAAAGCATTTTCACCTGAAAAATGCAATAAGCATTAACTGTAATATCCTCAATTGCTGAGATATAGGTTAAGGTAGGAAAGAGATAAGGTAATGATCAGTATTTGTCAGCGACTGGGAATGCGACCAGAAGCCAAGGCCTCAGACATTTCCAAAGGCTCACTGTTGGTGGCTGCAATATAAACCCCCCTTTCTCTACCTATAAACTGGTTTTGATGCAGCTTCATTCCAGTTATTTTCTTCTCCATGTGTCTCCCAACAGCTTTTCTATACCTAGAAGTCTTAAGGGAATTACAGTCAAAACCACTCCAGCATAAAAATAAATTTTTCATTTTTCCTTTTTACCCTGTCTCATTTTCTACCCATCAGGCATCTAACTTGTGTGTGGTGAGCTCCAACATATTTCAAACTCTTCCTTTTGGGCTGGTAGGAGGAAGACAGAGAGGAAACCACAAGTACTTTGTCCACAACAGCCCCTCAAAGTCTCGGAAGGTTAGTGAGCAGGCTGGCCATTGCATTTCCTCGCTTCAGCAGAAAACAAGATAGATTGGGAATATTGCAGGTTTTTTACAATGTCACCATTACTAATCAGCTCTGATTATTCATGCTAGAAGCTGTGGCACAAACAGTTTTTTGAGTCTTTGTGATTTTCATACTCTCTGCTTTTTAAAAATAAATACATAACTTGGCTGGGGCACAGTGCAGCTGGTTGTATGGAATACTGTGGTGGACAACACCAGTGTCACATTGCCAAAAATAATCTGTGAGCACAGCCACAGCTTTTGGATTAAAGTTGTCCCCATTCAGTGAAGCAGCTATTTGCAAATACCAATCACAGAACTTTCAGTTTATATTTATAAAGGATTTCACTTGGCACAAGGGGTCACTCATAAAGCTGATAAGGATTTTTGTGGTTAAACTTTCTTCCTATTGAAACCAATCCTTTGTATCACTAAATATTTTGAAGAATCCAAATGATTATTATTTCCTCCCTGAAATGTAAAGCTCACTATTTTTTTCCAACTTCAGAAAAAAAAATCTCAGATTCCACACTAACATCTTGTGAAGTAGTTGTAGACAAATGTCCTATTTCCTGGGGAATCCCTGTTCACTATTGCTGAGACTGAAGGAGTGTTAAGTATAAGATGGCACAAGTGTCCTGTTTGCTCACTTATTTCTAGAAAACCAAAGCTAAGGGCTCAGATCACACACATTAGTGAGCTTGTGAACACATGCAACATTCACCAGCAATGGCCAGTTTTAGACTAAAATTTAGTTTGATTCAGATTTAGACAGATGTATTTATCAAGCTGAGATTTCTCTTGTAGGCCCTAGGAGTAGGCCTTAGGAGCTCTTTATAAACATGAATCATTCTTCAATATGGTTAAATGCATGTTGCCAGAGGTGGCCTTTGGCTTAATTCCCTTTGTGCAAATGGCCAACTGAATTAGTAATTTGAGCTGTCTTCTATGTGATGACAGTCTTCTGTAAGCATCTGGCTGTGAGTGAGGGGCACTGTGTGGCAGTATGACTGTCTTTAATTTGAAACCACAATTTTTAAGAGTTCTGGGCTTTTAACAAGACAGGAGAGAAGTCAAAGAAGATCTAGATATTGAAAACATTTCTTTACGTCTTTGTAAACACTCAGGAGAGCAAACCTCAGAGCCATCAGTAAACCCAGCAACTGAGAATCAACAGAGTCTGTCACTAAACATCAGGAAAAAGCCCAAGTTCACCTCATTCATCTTCCCCAGTACCTTCCTGGGGTAACTTTCTCCACTGTGCTTAGAGAGATAACTGAATAAAACTGGTGTGTCTAAGTAAGAAACATATACAGAAACCAGTCCCAGTTGGCTACACCTTATTTACATAATTTTTACAAGTCTCCATGGCTGGAAGTCATTTCAGCAATGACTGTGGTGCTCATAATATTTTTAACTCAGTGAAGTCATGATGTTTTGACATATTGAATAATAATTGCCACAAGGGAACTTCATAATAGTAACATCCATGAAGTACTGATTTAGCTATACTCAAAAGAAAAATTAATGACTGTAGGGTTAAACGGTTGACACTTTCCTTACAGTGAAGGTCCCACCCATACTGGTACCTTCAGTGCTGCCCTTTACTGAAATACAGCTGTGCTGGCATTCCTGCTCAAAGTGTACTCACAGATGCAGCCAGAGGAGAGGGATATTTGGAAGGTATGGATGGTTTGGAAAGAGTGGTCATTGGTTCAAACCATTCCATTAAGAGGCTTCCCTCAGCTGTACTCTAGAGGTGGAACGAGAATGGTACAGGGTTGTGGAAACTCCTGTTCTAAGAGTCTCCGAGTTGTCTCAGACATGCCAGTACTAGAACTGAACAGAAACATACTGACAATTTTTACTTACTACAAAATAACAGTTCCTTAAAATAACAACTGTTTCTGTGAAATTGCTGACTTAACCAACTTACCCTTTTTAGGTAAACTATCAAAAAAGATTCAAAAGGTGTTCCAATAGTTTTTGGGGAATTCTGAAACAGAAAAGTTTCTCATTTTCAGTTCTTCCTTATTAAGAACCAGTAACAGCAAGAAGAATCATCCTTTTATTAGATGATAGCACTGGTACCATTTTTGTCCCATTACCTCAGAGTCCACTCCCAGCTTAGGCACAGGTTTATGGGGTGGAAGGAGATCTGCACGGGCAGGGGCAGCCCCAGTGAGAGCAGAGGCTGCACCCGGCACCAGAGACAGGGAAGAAGTTGAAAAACACCTTTGGGTTTTTTTCTCTCCCAGCAGTAAATATGTTAACTGACTTCAGAGCTCCTGCTTATTAATGAGCTGTGGAAAGCCAGGTGGCTCAATTCCCTTAAAATCCTGGCAAACTGCAGGGATATTTGGCTCCAGCCAGATCCTGTGGGCACTTGGAGAATGGTCCAATCCATCCATCACAATAAACCGCCTTTCCCATAACTGACCAGCTTTCTGTCTACATGATCTCTACGCTGTGCTTAATGCTGTGGGAGTTACTGTATTGTCACCAAGACAGTGCCATGGTCTCATTGCACGAGAAAAATATGCTTGTCTGTGATTGTAGAAGCCATGAGAAGGTTCTAGAATTGCCACTCAACTCCAAATATCTCCTACATAGCCTAGAGAAAGACTCAGCAAAAAAGATACACTGACCATGTTGAAATCAGTTGAAATTAAGATTTTCAAATTGAGTACAGCATACAATTATGCTTTAGAGGCTGGAACTGAACACTAGAAACAACAAATATATTTTATATTAGTAAGAAAAGTATACAGGCTGTATTCTGTACTATAAAGGAGCAAATAAATTTCAGAAAGGATAAAGGGTGATTGGTGGCATAAAGCTGTATATAAGCAGTGCTTAGCTCCTGTTTTTATCTATGTCAGCTACAGAAAACATGATCTTGGTATGATGTTACAATACCCAATGTCAGGGGAGAGGAGAAAACGTAAGGACGAAGTATGTGCTTTGAAGAAATCATCTAATGATAGTCATGAGGCAAAAAATCACATTTTACACTGTGATGCTTGTCTGCAGAACACAACATAATGCTGGGCAAATAACAAAGCTGCTCCTGGTTTTAAAAGCAATGTAACTGTGAATGTGCAGCAGCCTGAGCCAATTTAAATGAGTCTGGCTCTTTTACTGCAGAGAACCACTCTGCTGCCCTGTATTCAGTCTAACTTGGAACAAACTCCATGTTTTGCTTTGTATCTTAATGCTGCAGCAAATTCAGTATTGTCGGTGTTCAATTGTTTTGAAAACCTATTTTTTAGTTCAAAGATCTTTTTATACAAAAATTATTGTGTGTTTCCATAATTACTTGTCAGCTTTTAATCATACCATTAACTGTTCAAAATACAGGTCTGCTGTACTCAAACTCCCACTTTGTAATAAACACTGTTTTATTGTAGTAAATCTTAGGGCATATTCTGTCTAATCTATCAATAATGATGTGAAAACCTTAAGACTAATTTCCTTTTTACTTAATGCTTGTTGATTTTTTTTAATACAGATCCACCACAGATGAATAATGTCATGCCAACATCTCCCCTCCTTCCTCAGATGGCACATCAACATTCATATCCCAGCCTGGGACAGATCACAAACCCATATGAGCAGCAGCCCCCAGGCAAAGAACTTAACAAGTACGCGTCTCTAAAGGCAGTCGGTAAGTAAGCGACGCGACGCATGACTTCTTCTTTAGCTCAGCATGTTGCACTTGGCTGCTGGCAGCTGACATTCTGCCTCAAAGTTGAAAACAAGGTCTTGCTCATCTGGAATATTTCATGACAGAATTTCGTATTGAATATCCCATGGTAGAATTTAAAATGGAATATCATGTTAGTTGTAAATGCAACAGAAATTAAGATGAAGACTGCAATTAAGGGATAAGAAAACTACATGCAAGAACTGGTGATGATATAATGTGAGCTCATACATGCACACAAAACCACCCCATGCCTCTGCAGGACATTTTTCATTAAGTTTCACCTGTGTTGCACACACAGTGTTCAGCCCCAGCTCTTTATGCCTTGAACCTGCAAGGAACAGGGAGTTGGACTTGATGGTCCTGTGGGTCCCTTCCAACCTGAGATATCCTGCAATATGCCTATGTATGCATTGTGGTGTGTATTTCCCCCAGTTCCTACACAAATGAGATAGAAAAACATCAGCTTATGATTTACACACCTGCTAAATACTTCCAAAAAGAGAAGGCACTCATATAGTTCTGAAGTAAGAGTTTTCACATTCCCTGCAAGATGTACATTAGTAGGTCACTAGAGGAATGTTCTGGGATCTTGTGATTTCAAACAATTAGTGCATGATAAAACTCCTAATAAAGATCCCAGTGGTGGCTTATTTCTGTGTCTGACTAATTTTATTTTAAGTAAATGAGAGAACAAACTCAAAGATACTGTTGTGGAGAGGAAAAAGGACAATAATGAGTAAAAAATTCAAAATAATTTTCATATTGAATGTCTAAGCTTATAATAGTTTTCAGGGGCTGTAAATACCTGCTGCACACCCCGTAATGACAGAAAGCCCCTTCTAGACAATAATACATTAAGAATTTGGGGGTCTTTTCCCACTAACCCTTGCTTAGCTTTCATATATGGATGTTAAGATCATTTCCCCATAAATTCAGAGTAATGCCACTCTCCCTATTTCCTGATAGAGATACGTATCTAGAAAAAGAGCAGAACAGCTCAGAGCTTTCTGATTTAAGAATCGAGTATTCACCATGCCAGAAAAAATTTTCATCACAAACTGACATGCCTTTATCTGCACTTCAGGATACCAGACCTCTAACAAAATGTACATCAAAGCCACATCTCAAATAGTTCAGTTTTACTTTAGCTTGTTGGTTTTGTATCCTACAAGCGGCATTTTAAATCTGTTTATTAAAACAAGGGTTAATAGCTTTCTGTTGGGTTCTGAATACCAAGAAGCTTCACAATTCTTTCTTCAAAAGGTGCTGCTGTGTAATGATGTGGTGATTATCACAGATTTGCGCACTGATATTGAGCTTCTTTTTCAGATGTCAATTTAGGTCAAGCCAATCATCAAAGTTGAAAGGTATTTAAGCAAAAGAAAATGAGAGATTAAACACTCTAAGAAACTTCTCTCATCTACCCAAGAGCCACTGAATGTACCTTTCAAAAAAATTATGAAATTAGAACTTAGATATTTCTTGTGTGTCTGAGTACAAGTTTTTAAAGCAGCTAGATTATAACCATACCATTAAATCAACCTTGAAAGATTGTGCACTTCAGCTCCAGAAGTTGTATAATGCCTCTCAGAATCTTAAACTAAATTAAACATAACTTTCAGGGACATTTTCTTCCAGGGGGATTGCACCATCTTCCCATGCTTCTCCTATATTCTTCCTATCCTTTCTCTCTTTTTTGCCCTCACAGATACACTGGTCCCAGACCACACTGGCCAAGTTTTAGATGCAAGTTAATTTTCAAAAGTATAAAAGTGCTGCATCATGATCCAAACTTCTCAGCAGAAAACAAAGGAAGTTTTGAAACTGTTGCACATTCACATCTTCTGTCTGGACTTACGGAACAAGAACTAAATACACTGAGTTTTCAACCATTTTCAAACTCTCAAGGCCCTGATTCCTCCCAAGAGTACCTCTTGAGTACATCCTATGGTCACAAAGTGGTTTTTCCATGATGCCAGCCAGGCTTAGGTCTGTGACCATGCTGACAGCCAGCTCTCCAGACTGCAGGGTTCATGCTGGCTTTCACAGAGCTCTGACAGGAAAGAGGAGCTGGCTGATATCAAGCCCACCAATACAAATTTAACCTGACAACATCTTTTGAACAACCAGACATAGACTGAGTTCATCCTGACCTCATGTCACAGGGCAAAGGCATTTTTTGCCTGCCAACATTCAGTCTTGAATTTATGGATCCCCACAGCAGATTAATGTGTGTGTGTAGTCCATTCCCTTTTGCATTCATTGATAGTGGCTTGAGGGTGAATTCATTTGCCACAAGAAAAAATTAATAAGGGATGTGGTCTATATTTCTCCATGCATTTAAGGCAAACCACATTCATTCATGTGTCCCTTACTCTGCATGATCCCATTGTTTGAGTGTATTCCACTGTGCTTAACCCTTTTCTTTAATAAGGGGTTGGAGGAAGAAGCATTTCTAATGTTTTGTAGCAACTGTAGCTGTAGTACATTAATATCCCTCATCAGAATGTGGCTATAAGTGGTAAGAAATTTAGATAACTGAAAAAGTGAAGCTTTACCAGAGGCACTATTAAATTAATTTCTACACAGCTGCTTTCTTCTGAACTACAGATGTCCTAAAAAATTGGCTAATTTTAGAAGTAAGCTACTTGTTCCTTGGTGACTGTCTCCTATGAAAATTCAGTTTATAGAAAAGTAGCAAATCACATTAATCTCTGTTTTGATCATGTTCAGGTTCTCCATTAACTTCAGTAAAGATTCAAGTGCTTGTGAAATCAAGAGACAACAGTGCCCATGCTATTAATTTGCATTGTGCTACTGAGTAAGAATGACCCATAGTCTCTTGGTAGTGAGAGCAAGCTGATCCCCAGGAAGCAATTTGAAAGCTACACCACACACTCCAAGTGACAGAGCTTAGCAGAATGTGGTTGGACATTGGACTGTTCATGCATGTGTGCAGTGCAGTGTGTGCATTGCAGTGTCTGGTTCAGCACCACAGAGAAGGAGAGAGTTGCAAAGGCTGATGTGGATGCATTTTATTTAAAAAGCCAAGTATTTTTACTTGAACAAGCTCAAAGTGCACAACCAGACCCTTTTACACGCAATGGAAGAGGATGTTTTCCTCATTTCTTGTTAGGAATTCCTTTATTTGTTGCAGCCTCCAGAATTCCTTAAGTGCTGACCATGGCTGTTGACCAAATTCACCTTTTCCCCTTTCTGCCTGCTGGCATTTACATCTCTGAATGACATGAGGACATTCTGTGCTTCTTTTATATTCTCAGATGAGTGCCTGGAGTACAGCAATGTACTGGTGAGTTGAGATATGCTTACTGTTTTCCTCACTGCACTAGGATTTTACTCTCCTTCTACCTTGGCACACACACCACCAGGGAATAAGCAGCAGAAGGCAGAGGACCAATTGAAAATGAGATAGAGAACATACATTTCCTGAACAAATAGATAAGAAACTTACCTCCTAGCATCTCTAGCCTACCTGGCTGACTGATCTGACTTATGGTTAGGTGCACTGTGTTCATCCATTATTTTCCATTTTCAATCCACAGAATCTCTTGTCAGCAGTGCTAAATTTTTCCCACCTCAGAATGTGAGAGACTGTCTGAAGGAAAAGGGTTAACGAGCTCCAAGACCAGTCCCAGCAGAAGTGTCCAGAATGTCATGTCGCAATAAACACCCAGTACTTAGAAATTCCAATTTTTTGGTCACCTGAGACTACATGATCCTGATTTCCTTCAGTGTTATTACAGTATTTGATTATTTATGTGAAAAGTGCAGAAAGAGGTTTTTCTGCATAAATTATTCTTATTTCCAGTTCATCAACCATGTTTTTACTCCATGCTTAAATGGTTATTGCTCACTTAAGCAATACTGACATGCCCAAAGCTACAAGTGGATGGAGATCTTGTAGCTGAACACCTTCATGAAATTAAAGTCCCAGGACATCCAAAGGTAGCTCATCACAAATTTTTATGCACATCATTTGGACATTCATTTGGAAAGCATGAACAGTCCAAATTCAAATTCCACTCTGCTAAACTGTAAGAGTTGTAGTCCATCCTGATGCTTAAGAGTTTCCTAGAGCTCAAACTGGCCTCATTATCCTGAGTTATTTGTTAATTATTCAGTCACACTGTTCTGCAAGCCCTGCTCAGTAACAGTTAATTTTCTTTCCTGAGTTTCAGGGAGTGCAAAGTCACTAAATTATCTTTAGACCTTCTTGCAGGAATGAAAAAAACATCCCAAACCCAACTTCTAAATCCTGGAGGACTGGGGAAATGGTCACTCAGCTGCTGGAGAGGTTCACAGACATGCAAGTAAAAATTGAGAATACAAATATTTCTACAGCTTAACACGATTTTCTATTTCTTTCATAAATTTTCTTCTTCCCTTCTCACTCACACACACACAGACACACAAACATTTGAAGATCTGACTGGGCATTGTCAAGAAAAAAAGATATAAAAATACAGTGGACAGCATTCCTTCCTGAAATGCAGACCCAGAAAGTCTTCCCTGATGCTGAGAGTTGTTAGTCTCCTGTGGGATTAAATCAGATCTAATTGATTTGATATAGTGAAGCTAGGAGGATATAATTGGCAGCAGATCCACCATTGCATCTTTGAGTCTACAGCTCCCAGCATTTCTTGAAGCTGCACAGTTCTTTGATCCCAGAGGAAACAATAGACTGTGATCCAGCTCTGCTTGCTGTTGCAAAACTGCAAAGTGAGATTCTGCAAATATGGCACTCAGAGAATAAATATCTCCTGGTTAGGTCCCGGCAGAAAGTAGTGTGGCCACAAGTGTGCCCAGGCAACAACTCCCCCAGAAAGGTGAGGTGTATGAGCAAACTGACCTGGTCCTGTGTCCTCTGTGCACACAGAAGGATCCAAAGGGAACATCACCCTAAGGTTACCTCTGGGCTCTTATCTTTGAACCATCTTCTTGTCTGATGGGAAATTTGTTGCTGCCTTCCCCCGAGCTTCAGACCTTCAATTTCCATAGAAATGACTGTAACTGTGCTGGTACAAGATCTGACTCTCACCATGAGACTCTATACCATTCCCTGTAGTTCATTGTGCTCTGGCCTGGAAAGAAACACTGTAATTGGAAAAAAGGAAACACACAACATGCCTGCCATGTATTCATGGGGTCGATACAGTCTACTTTTAGAAAAAAGCAGAACTACAGATTTATTTGACATGATATGTTTGCATTAATTTACTTTCCTATACCAATCACACTGTTACACTGAGAGGTAAATAGTCATGTTTCTTTGGAAGGCTTAAAAAGGAATTGTGCTTTCTTTTCAAAGACAAAATAAATTTTTAGTTACCACTTCCATAAGCAGTTACACAAAGATGGATCAAAAAAATCTGGAACATAGGACTATCTCACTGGATTTAACATCACGAAAAACTGACAGGGAAGCACAGATTAAAGCATCACTTGTAATATCCAGAGGGTGATTCAGATAATTATTTCATATATCCAGAGGTATGTACTGTGTCATAAATAATGCTCGACTAGGCGATCTGCCCAATTCAACCCTAGAACTACAGATCTGGCTTGAGGAAGTGTGACATAAAAGCTGGGTATCTTTATTATTATTATTTACTCAGCCCAGTGTGGCTACAGAATTTGAAGCTTTAGAGTGTTCATTTGTTAGGGAAGTCTTTCATATTTTAATCTTCATTTCTACTTCAGGCAGAAGAGAAAAGCCGAGCAGCACTCAAGAGCAAGCCTTGCTTTACCAATCCCCCTGCCAGCACCTTCTCTCAGCCTTCCCATTCCCCAGCCAGAGGAAGTAGAGCATTGCCTGTTTCACTCACGTCTTCTGATGAAACCCAGCAAATTTCACAGCCTGCCCAGTGCATGCAGATAAAATTACAAGACCTTTTCTTGCTTCCACTAAATAATTTAATTATTTTCTCTGCTGCTTATCCAATTGGTTTCTGATACCCAAAGGCACACTGTCATAGGTAAATATTAAATGCTTGGAGAATCTTGATCAAAATATTTTCCTGTTTTATCATCTGGAACAGTCATTTCTCCTTCCAGTGAAGTACTCATGTTTTAATTATAAATGTGGCATTTGTGCAGAGCCTCAGTATTTTGAACTAAATCATCCGCTTTGCTGACATTCTTTTTTGGCTTTTTAAAAAAAACAATATTTTACTGTAAAATCTAAAGGAGGATATTCTTTCTGAGGATGGGGAATTGTGCTCTAAGCATTCAGACTTCCAAGCAGCCATTGCCCATTCCATCCTTTGGCAAACAGACAGATTTGTGAACTTTGGGGATATGTTGGTCTTGGAAGAAGCGACATCATGGCAGGTGGAAGGAAACTGCAAATAGTCCTTCTTTTAAAAGAAACAGTTTAGGACCAAAATAAGATTCTCTTAAACACTGTCATCTATGTTGGTTCTTTTCTTAGACTTTAGCAACACCCTGAACTTGTGAAAGAAAGGAAATCTGACCATGAGGTGTACTTAGTTTAGGTTTAAACTTTCAACTTTTAGTTCTGTGGGTTGGACTCACACCTAGTAATTGGTTTCTCTGAAATTGGCCCATTCCCTGGTTTTGTAATGGCTGAAAAATATTCGTAAGAATTTATTAAATTTTAACCTATTTTTCATGACAAATCTGTGCATCCAAGTTCTTGTTCTTGACGTTGATATTCTTGGCACCTGTTCTCCCTACCACAGAGGAAGAGCCTCTTTTTTTTTTTGTTAGCAGCACATTAAAATAGAGAAAACTAAATCATCACCAATCATTCATAAAAGTTCAACTTATAAACACCACTCCACATTCTATCAGTTATGCACCATAGAGAAATCATACCCTCTCACCGAAAATTAGGCTGGTTTTCTGGAAACTAATTGATTTTAAAGATCTTTATTATGTGATAATGAATCAAAATGAAACAAAAATTTATTTTCTCATTTTTGTGAGACATAATGGAGAGATCTAAAATAAGAGTACCAGAAACCCAGCTGACTGCTAGAGAGTGGGGGTTTTGTTGTCTTTTGCTTGTCTTTTGGCCTTGAAGGTAGAGCCTTCAGAGGAAACAAGCTTACAGTAACCAGGTTTATTTCCATCCATGGGGATCAGTGGTGGCCCCAAGAAAACAAGTAAATCTAAATCAAGCATGGGTTATTCCAATGTACTTTTACGAAATGCTGATGAATTATGCATGAGATTTTTTTACACATTAAGTGATGTGAAGACATGAGTGAAACTTTATGCTCAGGCAATAAAAGTGAGCCAATAAAAACAAGGCTCAGGTCACGCCATGACAAAGCCTAACAATGCTGAGTATTTTCACTTGCAGCCCTTCCTAAAGATCTCTCTCTGTAACTATTTTATTTTGCAGTATAAACATACTTCTCATTCTGCAATGCAAATTTTTTTATCAATTATTTAAGCGTAGTGATTTATCCTAAAGGTATGAAAACAACTGTGAATATTTGCAGATAAATAAACTGTGGCATTCCAACTCAAATCTAGATTTAATCTTAAGTGTGGCTTTTACCAGTTCCCACCATGGAGCCTACACATTGCACTCCTTGCTCTTAACATACTCCACCCATTTTTCCCTCTGGACTGTTAGCTCTGTAGGTAATGTATGACAATCTTTGCAGGAAGAGTTTCACAGCTGTGTTCAACATGGGATATGACGTTTTAAGACCTTTCAGCTTTGTACATGGATATATGTCAAAAGCAGAGTGCAGCGTTCTTCAGGATTACCTATGAACAGAAAAGATAGTAAGACAACTGATAGGAGAATAAATCCCTTATTAACAATATCATATAAATAGCAGCAATTATCTGTCTGCTGTTTTGATTCTGCAAAAGGGGCTCTAAAGACAGTAAATGTGTTTTTAAGAAATTGCACATATAAAAGTCACAGAGACCATTGCTTTATTCATACTATAATAACAAAGAGCTTGAGGCATGAAGGGAGAAAGAGCAGGAACATGATTTGCAATGCACAGTTAATTTCTGCTAAAGTCCTTCCACAACAGCTTATTTGAAGAATAATAAGGGGAAAAGAGAAGCTGAAAAAAAAATTCTGATATGTAGTAGTTAAGATACTGCTGCATTAAAAAAAAAAACAACCTACAAAGATATAATTTGGTTCCATTCTAAGGAAAATCTGAAGTACAACAGGTAGTTTTTGAAGTGGGAAGGTTGCAAAGCTTTCTAGGCTATTGAAGGTGCTACTGTGGACAGCAGCCAGGGCCCTGCCACAGGGGAGGAGGCAGAGCTGCTGCTCAGCACTGTTGCTGCTCACTCTCGCCAGCAATTGATATGATTGCAATTCCTGGAGAAAAGGGGAGAGACGAGCTGTACACTGCTCTGTGGCTGCAGTCTGGTGTGTCACTATTAACTATTCATGGCAGGGAGCTGCATTTCCAATCCTTCCTGGGCTGGCTGTCAGTCACTGATGCTGCTGCCTTACGTGAGGGCTCTGCTCAGAGCAGGCACCACTTCTGCTCTGCCTTGGACTTGGCCCAACTGCAGGAAAACCTGAAGAAATTCATTTTCTTCTGACAGGGCAAGTTTGGGAATTGCCAGGCAACACGAGTTCCTTTCAGTTTGACACACATCTCTGGTTTGGAAATCTCTGGCAACCATGCTCAAGAGTTTAATGATACAAATGCCATCAAGTCTCAAAAGAGGAAGACAGGAAAAGAAGAAAAGGAGAAGAAAAATCCAGAACTCAATATGTATAAGCATAGTGATGAAATTACTTCATTCTTTTTTTTCCCTCCTGAGAAAAAAGTATAAAAGATAACTTTCTAATAGAAACAACTTATGCCAGAATCATTTTGGGAAAAAAAAAATCAACTTCAATGCAGAAAAATTACTGAAAATCCTTTCAAATTAAAGCAGTTAAGAAACAGAACAAATAAAAATAAATTAGGCAAAAAATAGCTATTACATCACTGGGACTTATTTTTTTAATTTAACCAGTACCATTCAAAAAGCCTGTAGGCCTTTCTTCATGTTGAGAAATAATAGTGTAAGTCTAGTATGATGGCAGTTGAAAGGCATAAAATTGCAAGTTTATTTCAGCACTAAAACCACATATTAATTACACGTTCAGACAATTAATTTGGTTCTCTGTGTTCTCATGTAGCTTCCTATGTTATCACATCTGGTATTTGCAGCTTATCTGTAGCTGATTCAGACATATGTATAAGAGTTATAACCAGCAGTATACTAAAAGAAACAAAAATATCAATCAAAAGTATTAAAATTGAGAACAAAATTGAGCACACAGAAGAATGCCAACAGCGACATGTGAGAAGAAAATTCAATTATGTTCATGCTAAGAACAGTTATTACTAATAAATGTGGTCAGGAATAGCAGAGCTTTTTCAGTCAACATCAGATAAGGTAAATTGACACCTGAAGGAAAACCAAATAGGCTTTTTAGATGCTAACCCCGCTGCAGAAGATGGTGAACTCTGTCCTGCCCCGGGTTCCCCCTGTGTGCAGCAGCCAGGGCAGCGCCCCTGTGTGCAGCCCCCCAGCAGCAAAGCACCCCTGAGCAGGCTGCAGGAGACCCTGGCTGCAGGAGACCCTGGCTGCAGGAGACCCTGGCTGCAGGAGACCCTGGCTGCAGGAGACCCTGGCTGCAGGAGGCCCTGGCTGCAGGAGACCCTGGCTGCAGGGAGCCCTGGCTGCAGGAGACCCTGGCTGCAGGAGACCCTGGCTGCAGGGAGCCCTGGCTGCAGGGAGCCCTGGCTGCAGGGAGCCCTGGCTGCAGGGAGCTCTGGCTGCAGGGAGCCCTGGCTGCAGGGAGCCCTGGCTGCAGGGAGCTCTGGCTGCAGGAGACCCTGGCTGCAGGAGACCCTGGCTGCAGGGAGCCCTGGCTGCAGGAGACCCTGGCTGCAGGGAGCTCTGGCTGCAGGAGAAGGGCTCTGGGCACTCAGCACTGCTCGCTGCTCCTCCAAAAGCACAGCGGGCATACCCTGCAATCCTTAGGAGGCTCCGCCCTTAAACAAACGGGAGGTCCTCACCAACCAAAAAGGTTACAAACAATTTTGTATTGTTGTTGATGTATGGAAGCGTTGCAAAACTTCTGACACAATCAGATTTACCCTGAGAAGCATTAACAACCAGCTGGTGAAAACGCGAGCAAGATTACTGGAGGAAGAAGTGGAAGAAGCCTTTTAAGCAAAATCTCCCAATGTTAACCTCTTTGGCTTTGGACAGCAATTTTAGAAAGCAAACCAAACCCTCCTTTCCTAAATCAGTTTATGCTGCAGTCATGCTTTATTCAGAAGTTAAGCATGACAGCATGATTCCTTAGGTTGTTTCTATTTCAAAAGGCAAGTTTTCATACCATATATAAGGTTTCCAGTAAAAAAAAACCCTGATAAATATGCTTAAATGAGATAAAATGAAATAAATATTTCACAGTAGCACTTTTCATATTTATTTGCCATTGTAGATGCCATGAAAGCCGCAAGCTTAGAGCCTTTAGGAAAAAAAATATTGAAAAAACAGATTTACACTTATAGGACAGCCACTGGCTGCATTTTCAAAGAGAAGTCAGAGATTTTAATACATAATTCTCTTAGACTTCTTTTACAATTTCATCCCTTGGATCAAGAATAGAATTGGTGCTCTTACTTCCTTCTAAAATTTATCACTCATTGTACAATACAGAATCAACAATTTAGCATGTTGGTGCTTGAATTTAAAATGTTAAATCACTTGAGGATACAACCAAGCAGTGTGATCTTTGTCTGTCTGCATGCAACAGATTTCAGGTTCCCTGAAAATATTTACAATTCTAATGTTAATTTAACATGAATCAGTCATCACTTTTTTCCAGGTTAACAGAGCCTGTACTCTGGTCAGTCAGAAAAAGTCTTGTTTTTCTTATACTGCTTAGATTCAAGTATCTGCATGCCACCGGTCCCTAGGTTAGGCAGAATGTCTGGAGTGTGTATGGCTGGAGTATTTTGATCAAAACCAAATGACAATATCACTGTAGCACTTTGCAAAATTGAATCATAAATATTGCAATTTAATTTACTATGTAAATCAATGCAGGCAAGTATACAAAGCCCAGCTGGAAAATCTGTTTTACATGTCCAAGGAGAAACCTGCCTAAACTCACACAGTAAATAAACATTTGGAAAAAAAAGAAAGAAAAAAACCAGTCTTTGCAGTGCTGTGCTTTTTGGCATGTTGTCAGAAGAGGGGCACTTCTGCTCCCAGACATGTGGCTGTTCTTGTATTCCAGGGAATGGCATGCCTGCTTTGGTGGAGCACACATCCTGTGTGATGCCTTAGCAGTTCATCAGGATCTGTCCCAGTGTTCCCAGCCAGGCAGCAGACTTTGCTGTGGGGGTTAAAGAGCATTGCTGAGACTGGAGGCTTCACTTACCCAGTCAAATTACATTCCTATCTGAAATCATTCCTAATGTGTCTCAAAACCCAGAAATATTCTGGCCAGTTTACTGTCATGAAAATAATCGAAATAAGAGAAGAAATACTTGGGCCCACATAGTTCTCTTTTTTCATGTCTCATATCTTGAAATAATTTTATTTTACTGGGAAAACAAAATGTAGTCTTGTGTCTGGAGGTGGACAAGCTCTTTTCAAACAATGTCTGAGAAGAAAAGGTTGATATGGTTTGTCTTTCGATGCTTGGTGTCTCTCCAGATCACTGTAAGAAATCAGTAAATAGATGAAGTGGTAAAGGGGGCCAAGAGAGGAATAATATTGAGCCACAAAAAGTAGGTTCCACAAAACTTATGTGGGGTTTGATGCATTATGTGTTTTACTTCTGGCAGTAGTAGGAAATAAAAACCATGGGAAAGAATTCAAAGACATAAAATAGTCTTCATTTTCAGAATGTCTTGAATAAAGGCAAAATGGTATTAGAAAAAACCAAAATGGTATTTAGGACAGAAATCAATGCAGGCCACAAGCAGAATTCTGAGTTTTCAAAACTCAATACAAGAATGAGAAGGAGGGCTGCAATAATTTTAAATGGCATTTGCCCTTTCTTGAAATTTTGTATGGTTTAAAATTCCCCCAACTTGTATAGAGCCACCCCAGTGCCTATGAAATGAGAACAGTGACCAGCCATGAAACAATCACACTCCCTCCTCTTGGCCACAGGCAGATCTCACATCATCCTGCCCATTCCCCATTCTGTCAACAGAATCCTATCTAGTTGAAATTTCCCCACACAGTCTGTTTTCCAACCCACTTCATATTATGCAGAGCAAATTCTTCTATGGTTCATGATAGTTTTTGAGCCCCTTAATTCAAAACACAGGTCATTTGTTTTATTTGTTTTTAAACATATTTGTTTTATTGTATGGAAGACATTTTTCTGTGAATTTCATGGATCCAATTCACACCTAGGGGCAGCTAATACAACCTCTATCTGTGTGAGGTTTTGCCCCTCACTCAAGAATAAACTTGTGCTAGTGTACAAATTCTTTGATTTTCTGATGAAATCCTGCAAGAACTCTAACACAGAGCTGGTTTATGTTCCGGAAGCCTTTGAACATGTTGTCTTAGATGCTAGCTTGGAAAAGCAAATGAATAAACAATCACACATTCAGAAAGGATCAACAGCACCACCAGAGGCAGCAGCCCAGTATTTCCCCGGGCAAAAGTCTCATGTGTGTGAGTCAGGATTCATTACCCTTCTGTCTTTCCTTGAGTTTTCACTTCCATTACTTAGAGAAATATAAGTTTTCCACAGCTTCAGGTAATGACACCATGGTCTCAGCAATCCCGTGGCTGAGGGAGCAAAGCCTTGTTACAAACTGCTGTATATTACATAGGGACAGCGTCCCAGAGAAACCTCCCACAAACAGGCACTCACTTCATTTCAGCTCTAATCTGGTGTGTCACTTAGCAATTCCATTGCTGTCCTGTCATCAGCACTTTCCACTGCCTTGCTTCTGCATCTCTTGCCCATTTGAAATACAGTCTTTTTTGCTAGAATAAAGCTCTGCATTTCACAAACTAGTTCTTAAAATACGTCCCAATTACAAACATTTCTGTAAACATCTAGTGGGAAACAGTGTCCCTACATATTTTTATAGCTTCTGACTGTGACTGTAAGCTCACATGTAAATTTTGATCTGGGATTTTGGTTTTGGTTTTTTAGTGTCTTTAGAACTTTTATAAAGGTTCACTCCTTTGTGGATTCTCTTCTTTCAATTCAGAGGCTTCTTCCCACTCCTAGGTGCCTATTTTCACAAAAACTGTAGGACAGAGTTGTCTTTCAGAATTCTGCATTCTCCCACAGCTGTAAGAAGTGGTGTGAGTATTCAGAGCCATTTTATGGACCCACAGATAAGAGCACTGTCAGTAAGGAAAAGAGTTAAAACCCCCTGTAATATTTTACAAGGAAAAGTAACCATTCAAAATGATAAGGCATGGCCACATGACTCTATGCCACAAGTGTTTACACAGTGACATTGAAGACTATTTAAACTGGGAAATAGAACATGACATAGTTTCAGGGCCACCTCTCAAATACAGCTTATAGTCAAATAAGCTGAGAAATTCTGGCCCTTTGGCAGCCACAAGGATTTTTGCCACTGATATTCAAGAAAACACATTTTCATTCATGGTATTTACTTGGTAAGAGACTTGCTGGTTTCCATGCTTTAGTTACACAACTATGGATTATGGAGAAAGATGTGAGACTTCCACGTCATGCCAGGCTCAAACTTCAGGTTGGAGAAAAATTAATATTTCAACATGTTTTTCCAGATGAACAGTAAAATAGTGTCCTAGTTTAGGGACCTCAACTAACATAAACCAGACGATTGGGGATACCAGTATCATAAAGTCACCCCAGGACAAATAGTAACTAAATTTATGGGTGCAGGACCTTAAAGAAGTAAAAGCCTTACAGAAATATTGAAACTGAGAACATCTTTATAATTAGTTACCAAGAAGAATGGGCACAATAATACTTGGAATTAAAGCCCTTCTTCTATTATTATTTGGCAATGTTTCGATTATAATTCTTTACTCCTTTATCAAACACAGCAGATATCTTTAAATCATTTGTTTACTGATCAAAATACAGAAGCCAATGCAAAAGGCACTTCTATAGCACCTTTAATCCAAAATCTCAGAATACTCTGCAAGTAGCAATTCAACTTCCTAATACAACTACCTCCTCCAATATGCTAACAGCTCATTTTACAGCAGGTGAAACCGAGGCAGAGGGAAGTTGAGTCATGTACCTAAGGTCACATAAAAAACCCATCCTCTAACTCCAAAATATCTCTTTGGATGTTTAAAGTCCACAAAATATTTATAGGGTCTGCTTAAGAAGAAAAACAAACTCCCTCAGATTCACAGCTGACTTTTAAAGTAGTTGGCTTCAGGGTACTATTAATACACTTTTCTTGGTAGAACATTTGTTACAAAACCGTGCTCAGTATTGCTGTTCTGAATCCTTTCTGCTTTGAGAATGGAAAGTAAAAAAACCTGTTCCTATACTGTAGTAGCATCAGGTCACTCACATGGGGCACAGCCCACTGCTATTAGGAAACCTGCATGAAAGATCAAGGATGGTGTTAAGAGCTGCCAAAAGCCCTCTTGAACAACTGAACAATTCAGTTTTATCACTGCTGATTTTGCTCCTGTTTGCTCCAGGGTATCTCCTCCCCCCCATTTCTGTACCTGTGCCTACGTGCACACCTGCACGTGCAAGCAGAAGGCAAATAGGATCAAAGGAGGTTAAAACATCCAGCACAGGGTTGCCTTTCACTGCCAGCACTGAACTCTGAGGCACAGGGAAGAGTCCTCAGGCAAAGCCTTACTTGATCAGGACAAACACAGTGGCTCTCCCACACTGGCACTGCCACACAAAACATGAAATCAGCCTCTTGGCAGCTGTTTGCCAGCTTTCTGCTTGACTTTGCTGATGAGGATTTACAGTTCACATCCTGGTTTGTTTTCATCAAACCCAGTTTCCAGAGAAACTGGAAAGCTGAGAAGTCCCTTGAAAGGGACTATGGACTATATTAATTAAAGCAACTTTAATGGAACCAAATTTACAGAATTAGTCTTTTCACTTTCTCTGTCGTTTTCCACAGAAACAAAGAGTTTAAAATCTGACATTATAACATGGCATAAACAAGAGCAAAACCAACTTCAAACATGTCAGAGGCACATTCCTTGTGAGGCTGATTTCTTCCTACCTGTTTCAACAGTGAAGGTCTTCTTCACATACAACAGAAATACAATTTACTCTTCTGTAGGACACCATCCTTGGTGTGACTGGAGATCTGAGTAGCACATCTAATATCTGATAAAATTCAGAGACCCAGGAGCATTGCAGCAGGAAAAGGTGCAAGTGAGAAAAAATTAATAGAAACTGAGGATGTAGCTTGAACTTGTTGTGACCTCAAAGAGAAAAATGGCAGGAAAAGTCAGGCAATAAAAATATGTGCAATTTGTGGTCGTTATTTACATAGCTGCATCACCACTGCTATTTCTAGAAAAAGAAGTCATTATTTACCTTGCAGCTGATTAAAGATCTTGGCTACAGAAGACAAATTGCTGCAACATAACTAAGATAAAACTACAAACTTACACATTAACTCTATTCTTATGTTAGATTAGCTAAGTTTTTAAATTTTGTATGCAAAATTAAACTAATTTAAATGTGAAACAGGCATACAAATGTATCTCTGTTAAAAGCTGGACATAATTAACTGTGCTGAATTTAAATTATATAAGCTAGTGTGACTTCTCATAAATAGCCAAGGTCTAAGTCATACGACATGGAAACTGTCTCCCCTAACAGCTGGCCTGCAGTGCCTTTGATGTAAAAATTTATAAAAGACTTCTGTGAATATTCACAGTGACTTTTCTGCAACCATTTTTTTCAATTAATGATAACAGATTAATGAGATAATAGCAATGCAAATGCATTTCTACCCTGTTTTTATTCATAATGGTTCTGTGACATTCAGAGAATATTAACAAATTAAAAGGACAAGCCACATGTAGAACTGGAAACAGCTCTTTCAGGGAGAAATAGGTACAACTTCTTGATTATTCAGATTACAGCTCTCTAAATGAAACAACTCACTCCAAAATCAAAGCAGAACTTCACAGACTCTCTTTGTAACACATGACAGGTCTATCAGCAATTGCAACTGCACACCCTGGGCTGAAATGAGAGCAGGCCATTATCTACATGCTGTGATTAGTTTCATTTCAGAAGACACCTGTATGCTATAGAAAAGCATTCACTCAATGACTGAAAAAGGAAACAGATGGAGTTGGGTAAAACACACAAAGCCCAGTCTGACAGCACAGAAATGAGCAATTTCAGTCCATTGGAGAGGAAACACCTCTTTAATGACAAAATTAAGGATTTAAGAGCATAGTCCACTTGCACAGTCATTTATACAAAAAATGTCATGAGATAATAAATAGCAACTGCTTTTGGTAATATTCCTCCCTGCTGAGGGGCCAGGACAAGGGGGATGTACAACTGAAGCCTGATCTTGAAGATTAATATGATGCTCCTGGGACTTTCCCTGTCTTGCATAAAAATCCAGTTCAGAACTAGAGACAAGGAGGAAATTCAAAGTGCAACAAAAGCCTCCTAGGAATACTTGGGTAAGAGCAGAAAAGGGAAGCTACAAAAAACAGTGCAGGGAATTAAAAACCTCATGAAGGGTGGAAGAACTGAGCTGTACAGACAGCTACATGTACTTATTTTCAGAGAAATCTTATGTAGCACGGCTTCAAGGAAAATGGATGGATCCAGCCAGGGCAGAGCAGAAGTCAAATCCAGGCTGACACAATATATATTCCAAGCACACCACTGCTCATTAACACAGTGCCAGCTGATCTATGTATTTGGAACTATCTTAAATGAACACCCAAATTTTTGAAGGGGGAAAATAAACACTCTTTACATAAAAGGAAAGATCTTAAAAATGAAATCCAGTTAAGCTTTCCTTAAACCTCAGTCTCAAAATTGAAATTAGTTGTCAGATTGCTGCAGAATGCCTTTAGCTTCCTAAGTGTGGTTCATACTTTCAAGCAAGGCCAAATAAATGCCAGTAATAACAAACTTGAGCAAAAGCGTGCACTGGAAGACACTTGCCTAGGAAATTACAGAGGGCAGAATTCTGATATGAGAACTGCAATGCAGTATTTGTTGGCAGGGCTGTTGCTGTATTTCTTAGTGGCACTGACCCCAGAAAATGATGTCGGAGCCTGGAATTTAGGATTTTCATGGTCTGTAAAATCACAGGGTAAATACCCAACCTTCAACAACCCAAAGTATTTTCAGCCCCATAAAGCATTAGTGAACTTCCAATCATTTAGGAGAACAGATCCCATTCTTAACATTGCCCTGAGGCATTAGTGAACAAAAACATCTCCACCTCATCACACACCACCAGACCTTGCAGCTGGCTGGGTTAAACACCCACGAGTCACTTTGCATTTAAAGGGATGTGCTCTCACACACCATGCAACCCAAGATGCCTCAGTATTCCCAGGAAAACCTGCGTACTTCTGTAGGCTTCCCAAATTTCCCATGCTATGTGACATGAACAGCCATGAGATTCATAGAACTTCTCCGTATAATGTAAATGTCAACACAACCTGAGTGATTTGGGGAAGGGACAGTCTTTTCTTCAAGGCCAACAGGGTTTTGTCTGCATGTATGAAAGCCTGGCACAACAGCACCTGAAACTCTGTTCGAGAGTGAAAATAAGGGCTGGGAGGTGGTGTGCACTGCTCTTACTGATGTACCTGTGAATGTTCAGGTCTGCAGATGGAACTGCAAGTAGCGTAAGACCTACTGTAAACTGTTCACCATTTTTCTTGTGTCCAACTGATTCTTTTTGTCCCCTCCCTCTTTTGACCCCAAATAGCTGACAAAGTCAACGATGACTTCTACACCAAGCGCCGACACCTGGCCGAGCTGGCTGCCAAGGGGAGCCTGCCCCTCCACCCGGTGCGCCTGGACGACGAGAGGGCCTACACCATCGACAGCGGGCTCACCCGGCAGAATGGGAAATCCCGCATGGGGAAGATACACACACACCCCCTGGGCTACAACTCGCACTACAAGACCTGGGATCCCAACGACCCGTCCCTGAGGCGGCAAGCGTTCACAAACAAGGGCAAGCATGGCATGGGAGACCCGACGCTAAGTGACCCGCTGACCACCCGGAGCCAGCACTACTTGGGCCCACAGCCATACTTCATAACCAACAGCAAGACAGAAGTAACTGTTTGAGTTTGTTTTCTTTCTCTATTTTTTTTTTTCTAATGAAATCCTTTAAAAACCACACACAAATGTATACACAACACAAACACTCAACTGAAAGGCAAAAAAAAAAATTTAAAAATATGAAATCAAAAAAAAAGAGGAAACAGAAGGAACTTACACCTTGGACACTCTTGGTATCCAGCCAGCTGTAGGCTGAAGAGTGGGTTAATACCATTCAGCAATACACACTGAAGGTTGAATTATAAACTCCATTTGTATTTCACAATGGAACACAAACCCTTGTGACTAAATTTTTTTACTTGAAACTAAAATCCATGATGAGAAGTAGCACAATCTAGAGAAACTTTATGTCTGCTTAAACATTTACACTATGTTCCTGCCTTGAGACAGAGGAAGAGAGAGAGAAAAATATACTGTAATATATTATTTCAGAGAGGAATTTTGTATAAAACCTATTAATAATCACTAGACCTGTGAAAAACTGAGAGCAAACATCTTGGTACGATCCCTAACATCTATTATTGTACTTTCACACCATCCTATAGAGAACGCAAAAAATATATATACAATAAGGGGAAAAGACACTTTCACAAGGAATTTATGAAGACTGTTATGATTAAGAGCATATGGGACCTTTCTGGCTGGTTGAGAATTCTGCAGGATGATAACAGCAGAAGATTTCATTTCACTTTACTTCGTTTGATTTGAAATTTTTGGGAACCTCCAAAATAAGAAGAGACACTTCATATGACACAGAAAGCTGCTGGGGGGAAAAGGGCATCAGAATATTCCCTCTCAGTCCTCCTGTTTTCAGGCAGATGGTAACAAGTCTCACTTTGCAGACTGTCAGGATTTTTTCTTCACCTAAATGTTTTGCCTATCTTCAACTGCTTCAGACTGAAATTAAGCGTGGGTGGTGCCTTTACTGTATTACTATTGTTCGATGACAGTCTTGTTCTTCAAAGTGACCCCTCTGTTCCTTTAAGCTATTTCCTCATGTTTTGCTAAGGATGACAAGGGTTCTGCCCTGCTCAGCCTCCTCTGTTTGTTCTGAAAGGAAACTGGACTACATCTCCATGCAGTGGTTGCACAGTCAAGACTATTTAGTCAGCTCCTTCATTTTCCCAGTTTCAGCTTTTCCCCTCTAGTCTCTCATTTTGTATTTGCTTTTAGCCATGGTAGTTCTCTGTAGTTCAAGTAAATGTTATCTGGTATATTGTCTCTATCGTTTGGCTTTCTCTAGTGGCATTCCCTCTTGGTGGGCTGTGTGGTGGAAGAGGCCGGTCCAGCCTCAAACATCAGAGATCTGGGGTTAAACTAAATAAACAATTGGACTCATGGTCTTGGCTGTGATTCTGATGAGCAGGATGCCCTGTTTGTGTGAGTAAAACCACTCTTGAACTGGGCACTGGTAGCAAACTCACAGTCCTGGGCTTCAGCACATCCACAAAGAGACTGAATTGGGATGGGATGGCAGGCAATGCATTCAGTCTTTCAGTAAATTCCTGCCCTTCCCCCAACACAAGTCATTTGGCTAAATCCCAACTAGCTGTCCGACTACAGTTGCATTCTCACCAGCTGTCAATTCTTCAGGAGATCAGGTCTGGAAGAGTATTCAGGGAGGAGAGAGAACTGTTATGTTTTAAGAAGAATTGGAGGTGGCATTTCTTACTCAACTGTCAGTGCTTCTGCTTAGTCAAGGATGCAAGGGCTAAGATTTTGAAATCTGGTTAAATAGAGATACCATTTTTTTAGCTATATCAAGATTGATTTGCATCCTGAGAGCACCGGTATCTCTCTATAAGTGTGCTGCTAAATTTTATGATCATATGTTTTCAGACTATCAGAAGTGGACAAAGCCCACAAGACAAATACTTTGCACACAACCCAGACTCTCCACTATCTTACTTTTATTCCTTTAATCTTTATTGCCTTTACAACTGGCTGACTTAATTTGACCCTTTATGGAATGTTGCTGTTAATCCATATGCTTTAGATACACATTACAGCTGCACTCTAATTCACACAGGTTTTGTGTAACTTGAACATATTTTATGTGGAAATATTTTAGTAACTGTATGTTCTGTAAGTAAACCCGTGTTAATACTTGTTAACTACAGAGTTTATGATACCAATAATACTTCCTACAATAAAATGTTTGTTTGTTTTTTAAGAATGTTTATTTGTAAACATATGTATTCACTATATTACTATGAATTTCTTACCTGGCAATAAAACTGATTCTAAGTGAATCCAACTTGCTGGCTCATTCCTACACTTGTATCACTGGCCCAATTTGTGCATCTGAACTGAGATTTTGGAGCATCTCACTGCAGCCAGTGGGGTTCATATCAGCACAAAGGACGGTTTACCTCTGCTAGTGTGAACAAGGAGCTCTTTGGAAATCAACTGCATGTTATCTGCATTATGGAGAAGGTGGGTGCTGCTTGAGGCTCCTTTCAGACCTAACCATCGTGTGATTTTTGACTGCCTTTTACATGCAATGTAACACAGTACACAGGGATTGCCAGCATTGCAGAGCTTCGTGTGCCCTGTAAGCCCCCAGGCACCACACACACCTTGTGTCATTTGATCAGTTAATTAACATTTTGAGGAAAAACAAAAATATAAACATGCCCAAGGGCAGAGGCTTATCCTCATGAATGCATGGGAGTTTTGCAATAAGCTTCAGACATGTCCAAGGATTGCAACTACCCAGCTAGAGCAAATGAAACACTGATGCATACTGCTTCAAAAATTTTATATGTTCATTAGAGAAGATCCTGTAGACAATATCTGTGTACCAAGTCTCCTGGAAAAGCAAGTCCTTACAGGCTTTTAGTAGTGCTAATGGCTCGTAAAGCTGACAGAACCTTGGCAGAGGGTTTGGGTAGCTTGTTCTCCTTTCTTTGCTAAAATGATAGTGAATAAATTTCAGAAGAAGAAACAGGTAGTCAGGAAACCTAGCTTCAGAATCCACTTACGGCACGACCTGGTGCAAATTCTTTAGACAGTTTGTGAGCCTTTGGGAAAACATCAATTCAAAAGTCTCCAGGGTTAGCCTTTTTTTACAGTAGAAAAATCTCATTTTCAATATGCACCTTTATGGGTGCCAGGAAATAGTTCATAAAAGCCCCATTTTCTGTTACCAGAGCATTTCCCTGCCTCAGACACAAGTACAGAAACAACCCCCTTCTGCCATAGGGCTTAGGAGAGACATACGGAGTTCGGTTAGTGCCAGGAATATTCTGGGCAGCCTTGCAGGCTTCAGGGAAGCCTGGGGAGCCCAGTGGAAGACAAGCCTAACCTGCAGTAGCCACAACTTCCTGCTACAGCTCCACCACCAGCCCACCTATGCACATGTTTCTAGCAGCACATTCCTGAGTGGAATCACAGATGGCAAAAGGGCCAATTGCTTTGCTAGCAGAAGTGTCTTGGCATAGCTTTTGTTCTTTTAGGTACATGAAGACCTCCAAAGAAAACTCACTGGAAAGTGATTTTGTGTTTCCAAATTTTTTTTCTCTTATGACAGGCAGCCATCCTTTTGACACCACTAGCAAGAGCAGCACTGGGCTCCCATCAGCATTTCTTCCATAAGAAGAAATCTTTGATCTTAACGGAGATGCACTGACTACAAACAGAAAAGTGCACTGTCAAGAAAGGATGATGTTCCTGTACAGAGCTATGGAGTCTAAAAGCCCAAAGGCATCTGATTTAGGGCCTTTACCCTGGAAACATCTGTTCTCATGACTAAATCTTTAGAGCACGATCCTTAGCTTACACAAACTGAAGATGTGATGGCTTATATAAATAGAGGATCAGGTCCCAAGAGATTTCACACTACGAGGTGTCTCCTCGACTCACAACTTTAGATTTTAATAGATCTGGGAAAAGATTCATGGTTTGCTCTGTTCTTATAGAATGGTTATTGAATTTTGGGTACTAAATAAATAACCCTAGTCCACAAATCCCTTTTGCACACAATTCTGAGCACTTTATTTAATCCTGGTCTCTATACTTGAATACATGAAGGACTTCAGTGATAAATATAGTCTTCACTGTAATTATATCATCTTTCTATTTGGCATAGATAATTTTATTTTGCTAAAAGCAGTTATGACAGGCAATATTATTGTATTAAACTATATAATATCATATATCATCTGCTGCTGAAAATGTGATCATAGGATGAGTACCACATTACCAAAAAGTGAACATTTTTATTTTTATCAGTGGGAAAGTCATACAGCTCTATTTTGAAAAGCTTCTGTAAAAACTATCTTGGAATTCATGCTTCATGCTTTAGACATTTCCAGACTCAAATTTTGCTCAGCCTGCAAGCTAGGTGAGTCCTCATACCTGCCAACTTAATCAGTAACATTAGCATGAAACCAGGCCTTTCTTCCCCATCCATGTGCACTAATGAAAGCCAGGACCAAATTAGGGTACTGGTTACACTAAAACTGCTGCCATACAAATTCAACTGATGGATGCAGCAAACATTTCTGCAGAAGATGCTCTCTGAAGAGTTTGACACACTTCATACAGCTGTGCAGGCCCTGTCATGTTAGCAAAGCATAAGGGAGATGTCTTCATCCCTGGTGACAGCCCTTTGTGACAGCCTGATCCTAATTCTGGGTATTCTTCCTATTCAGAATTTGCCAAATAAACAATCCTGAACAGGCCATACTCCCTGAATAGGCCCTTCTCATCCCACAGCCACACTTCTAACAAGATAATGGTGTTCAACAGCAAGGTGTTCTCCCTTAAATTTCATTTTTCACCTTCAGAGCTAAGGGACCCATTCAGGGAAGGGGAAGCTTTGGATTCAAACTAACCTGAGGCTGAGATAAGTTCAGAGCCCCCATCTATTACTGCTGCTCCCATTTCACATAACAGAAAAGAAGAAGATGCAATTTGTACCTCAGTTCATGAAGCACTGCTGTACTAAGTCAGGTCCTTCACAGGTACGTGAAGAGGCTCTGTACCTCTCTTTCTCTGCAGGGAACTTGAAGCTAATTTTTTATCCCCAAGCAATCATTCTGTGAAAGGTTTTACTTTTTATTAGTAAAGCTAGAATTCAGAGTTAGAGTTCAGTTTTTGTCTATGCATTTTGTAATATACTGCTACACACAGTTGCATCTTGTCTATTTAAGTCAACTATAGCTGCCTTCACTTGGCAACTTCTCCTGCATTTACATGGTAAGAGGCATTGTTGCTTGTTAATAGGGGTTGATGTGCTGGCAGAGTTCATCTTCTGAATCTGCACACCAAGCCTTGTGCATCCCTCACAATAAATAAGGCTGGGAGAGCAGTATGCTATCAAAAGTGATTATTTCAAATCAAGAGAGAACATCAGGTAGTTTTGCTGCTGTTTAATCTGAGGTTGAGCTACAAACAAGAAATGAAAACCAGTAATAATCAATAATAATAAAAATCAGTAATAATCCCTGAGCATGTTCTTTTTACTGCAGTTGGCCCCAAGTTCACTTTCTGGGATTTGGGCTTACAAGTGACACTTTGATGACAATAGTTGTAAGAGAGACGTTGGCCAGTTTCAGTGAATATATTTTTTGAAGTAATTGATCCTCAGAGGAAAGAGTGCTTTACCTGCTACTTATTATTTCTTTAAGCAATAGAAACATTGCAAAAACTTTGACAGAGAGTTGAAACTAGATGATCCTTAAGGCCCCTTCCAACACAAACCATCTTAAGATTTTATGATTAACTGTGCTTTTTTTTTCTCTGCCACAGGTGAAGAGAAGCTAGGCTTTGCTTTGTCCTTGCAGGGGTAAGAGAGCTCGAGGATGGCCGCTTTTCTTCCTCATTTCAAGGCAGACTTACAATTCAGTGGGAGTTTTTCATACACATCCTGCAGGAGACTGCACTGGCTACTGAGCACAGAGGCAGCCTGTTGACTCTCTCATATACTAGGAGTGAAAAAATCATGCAGTTGAAAGACACAAAGGAAGACTGGACTACTGCAACATAAGTAGTGGGTTTGCAAGTTGGCAGCTACTTTCCACCACCCTTCTCAAGAGATCAGGAGAACTGTCTGGTATTTTCACAGCTGATCTCTCCAATGAGCTCCTACAACCTTCTTGAGCACCCCCTCACACACAGCACCTCACCTGGGCTCTCATCTTCCATGCCAAAGTAGCAGTCTTGGGGAATGACCCCGCTTTGTGCACACCTGCATGCACAGACAGACACATTATACATCCCTTGAGCTTTGGAGTTTGACTCCCTAAATTATTTGTGTTGCAACACCATTGAAGGGTAACACTGATTTGGAA